ATGGCCAGCAGTTAGGAGGGACCAGGCCTGCAGGGAGGGCAGTTGGGTGATCAAGACTTCAGGGTAGGCCAGTTAGTGTTTGACCAGGCTGGCAGAGGAGGAAAGTGGGGATGACCAGGTCTTTAGGAAGTGCAGCTGGGGAGGACCCAGGCCTGCAGGAGAGAACAGTTGAGGGAAACCAGGCTGTCAGCAGAGCAGTTAGACATCAATTTGGCATGGGAGTGGTTAGGGGATGATCAGGCTGGCAGGCAGAAGTGGTTAGGGGCAATCAGGAAGACAGGCAGACAAATAGTTGGGAGCCAGCAGTCCTCTATTGTGAGAGGGATGTCCAAGATTGGAAAGAGTGCAAGGTGGGCTGAGAGACACTCTCCCATCCCCATGCACGAATTTCATGCACCACTAAACAGCAGATACTTGGACCATAGGTTAGCTTGCTGCAGGTCAGGACTGAGCGAGAGGGCCGGACATTCCTTGGATGACTCCTGTGGTCCCTCCCCCTGGGTAGTCTCCCATGTTCCTCCCCAACCCCAGTCATGCACCCACAGGGTCCCTCATCCTGGCATGTGCCCTGTGCCAATTTCAGACCCCTTGGGGGATGACAGAGGTCTGGTTTTGGCCCAACAGCAGCACGATCGGTCATTATAAATACAAACTGACCACCAGGAAGCAGACTCTCAACACAGGAGCTGTCCCCTGGTGGTCAGTGCACTTCCACAGGGAGAACACTGCTTAGATAGAATTTGGACTCATAGCTGGCACACCTGTAGTGCTGAGAGCCTCTTTTGCCTCTATACAGGGGTGTAGAACTCAATCAGAGAAGGGGCCAAAATCTAAAATCCAGCCTAAATCGCGGGCCGAATGGTTTACTGAACAGTCATAAACTGACAATGTTAACCAGAAATGTGAATTTAAAATGAGTGGAACAATCTTTTCCTTAACAGTGCTGTTAACCAACTCACATGCTATCAAGCAAAACAGTAATATTGGTATCAAGCAAAACAGTAATATTGGAATGTACCTAAAATGCTCATTGTTTTGTTTTCTGGCTAGATGTCTGACACCGTTTTCCCCGGATCAATGAGTCAATGTTCGGTTTTATTTCTTGGGCTGTAGCAACCCGCAAAACAGCATGGAGGTTGTCATCGGTAATGTGTGATCTGTGCTTGTTTTTGTTCAGATTCATTATTGAAAACATCTGTTCACAAAGATAGGTGCTCCCGAACATGGATAGAATACGGGTAGCATGAAGTCGGAGCTCTGGCATTGAGACAGGGGGCAGTAGAGGGTAGAAGTCCTCAATTTCAACATCCTGAAACCTTGATTTCAGGCCACTGTCAGACTGAAGCTCGATTATCTCCATCTGAAGGTGATGGGGCACATTGTTGACATCAACTGTAAAAGGATTGGCAAAGATGTCAAAGCCTGAGTGCTGTGTTCTAAAGTCAGAGAAGCACCGCTCAAATTCACTTAGTAAATGGCTAACTTTGGTAGCCAACCGACTGCAAGGAAAAGTACCAGAAATAGTGGTTGAGATACTCAAACAAACGGGAAAGTGGGCAAGATTGTCCTGTTCCAGTTGGGACTTCCATAGTTGAAGTTTACGCTGGAATGCTGTGATCATGTCAGACATCTTCGTGATGACTTGTTTGCGTCCCTGCAGCTTCAGAGTCAGTTGGGCAAGATGCTCGCAAATGTCACACATCATAGCAAAATCACATAGCCAGGCGGGATCTGACAGTTCAGGCAAGGGCTTTCCTTTACTTTCCATGAAAAGAGCAATTTGTTCTCTGAGCTCAAAAAATCTTTTGAGGACTGCGCTCTTGCTCAGCCATCTTACTTCTGTGTGCTATGGCACGTCTCCATGCTCTGCACCCACCTCCTGTAAAAACTGCTGGAACTGGCGATGATTCAGGCCACTTGCCCGTATAAAGTTAATAGTTTTAATGACTGTGGTCATTATGTCATTCATGTCCAGAACTTTTCCACACATAGCCTCTTGGTGGATAATGCAATGATAAGTAATCAAGGGTGTGTGGCAGTGACTTCTTTGCATTCTTTCCTTCATTAGTCCAACCAAGCCTTTCTTTTCTCTGCACATTGAAGGTGCGCCATCGGTAGTTAGCCCCACCAACTTTTCCCAGGGTAATTTAAAATTATTTATAGATTTCTCCACAGCCTCAAATATATCTTTACCAGTCGTCGTCCCATGCATGGCAGCTACATCCAAAAGTTCCTCAGTGACAGAGAGGTCCGTCTTCGTAGCACGTATAAAGATGGACAGCTGCGCTGCATCAGTGTTGTCTGTGCTTTCATCGATAGAAGTGAAAAAGCGAGATAACTGCATGGCTGTTTGGCCAGCTGTGATGATAGATTTCCTGAGAGTTCTTGAACTCTATCTGCAATGGTGTTTCTTGACAAACTGACATTTTGAAAACTCTGTATCTGGTCTGGGCATACTTGCTCACACACTTTTAGCATGCATTGCTTCAAAAAGGCACCCTCTGAAAAACACCTTGAAGTACGGGTAATTTCTTCAGCCACTATAAAGCTTGCTTTCACTGCAGCATCATTTTTCACTGTAGCCTTTGTAAACATTTGCTGCTGTGATTGTAGTTTGCCTTTTAGTTCTTTAACAATTTTATGCTTTTCTTCCAAAGTATATTTGCCATACTTAACATTGTTTGTTGTCAAAACGACGACGTATATTGTACTCTTTCATCACCGACACTGTCTCATAACACAATATACACACTGGTTTGCCCTCTCTAAGCACAAACATGTATTCATTTTCCCATTTGTCATTAAATTGTCTGCCTTCACCGTCAACTTTTCTTTTCCTGGACATTTTGGGATCAATATTGGCAGTAAAAGATGTAGTTTATTGGAAATCTGCGTTAGAAGGAAAAAGTTGAAAACTGCACAGGGATAGCTTGATTTGGCAGATGGAGTGGAGAAAAAAAAAGTCAGTCAATAAATGCCTGGCTGGGTACAGATAGCAGATTCTGTTGCGATTTTTATGCCTGCACTTTATGCCAGGAACTGGCAGCTTCTGCTGTGTATTTTTTATGCCCGCACACTCACTCCCTCCTCTGCTCTGCCACCCGCACAACCACATCGGATGCCGGACTATAGGTCACGCCTCCTGAATCTCGCGTGACTTGTTATCTATGCGCATGCGTAATAGATAGCAAGTACAGCGGCCGGCGGGGCGGCCAGCGAGATCACAAGCCTCCTATGTCACCACGCGTCATTGTGATGGAACGCAGCGGAGTGCAGTGATGACAGCACGGTGCAGGCCACATTGCAAGGCCTGGCAGGCCGGATTTGGCCCGCAGGCCTTGTGTTTGACATGTGTGCTCTATGACAACACAAAGGATTTCTGATTGTCAGCTAAATGAAGCAGGCCTAAGCTATCAGTTGGACATCTCCCAAGGGTTTCTGGACTGCCAGAGGGCACAGGCCAGGCTGAGGGACCACCACCTGACTCCACAAGTACATGGATTTCATGCACTGGGACTCTAGACATTAGCATATTACACGTTGGTTGGTTGATTGAATGACTGACTGCTTGACTGGACACTTAGCATATTAATCTTTTATAATATAGGATAGAATAGTTTTTGGTTATTTCCTTTACTTATTTCATTCAATGCTTAATGCCACCTTTTATTTATATTTATTTTTTAATCCTCACCCAAGGATATTTTCCCATTGATTTTTAGCAAAACTAGAGGAGAGAGGGAAAGACAGAGAGAAACAATGATGGGAGAGAAACACATCCATTAGTTGCCTCCTGCACAAGTTCTTACCAGGGCCCAGGCTGGGGAGAAGCCTACAACCAAGGAATACTGGAACCCTTTGATATATAAGTCAATGCTCTATCCACTGAGTCAAACTGCTGAGGGCTTAATGCCACTTTTTATTAGTGGGTAAAACAGAATAGTTTATGTTAATCTAGTTTACATTAGAAAATTAGTCCTTAATTTGCATTTTGGTCAAGTTGAAATCAATAGATTTTTAAGTTCATTGACATTCCTTTATTTGTCTCAAGTTTTCATTACTATACAGAGTACAATTTTTAAATAAATTATTTTAATGTATTTTTATTGATTTCAGAGAGGAAGGGAGAGGGAGAGAGAGATAGAAATGTCAATGAGGAGAGAGAATCAGTAATCAGCTGCTGCCTACATGCTCCTACTAGGAATGAAGTCTTCAACCTGAGCATCTGTCCTGATCAGTAATGAAAACCTTGGCCTTCTGGTTCATAGGATGATGCTCAATCACTGAGCCACAATGGCCAGGCCAAGAATACTCTTTAATCATGGAATTGAGTACCTGGCATAAGACTCGATTCCTTCAGTACAAGTAAGCCTTGAATTTGGGAATTTCCAAAGTATGAAACATAAAGATTCACACAGACCCTGAGAATTCCTATAGAAATTCAAGTTGAAATGAGGTTTACCATATGTAGCCCAAAGGGACCCATTCATGCACAACCCAATAAGACTTAAGAAGATGAGCACAGGTTTATTTTATTTCTAAATTGTCAGTGATTTAACTGGGAATAATTATTCTTTCTCTTGTAAATGCTGTTTGTTTTTTTATTTGTTAATCCTCACATAGGATATTTTTCCCATTGCTTTTCAACCAGACAGTTGAAAGGGGTGAGAGAGAGAGAAAAACATTGATGTGAGAGTGGTACATAGATAGGTTACCTCCCACATGCACCCCAATTGGGGGCAGGGAGCAAACTGCAACCCAGGTATGTCCCCTTGACCAAGAATTGAACCTGAGACCTTTTGGTGCACAGGCCAACATTCTAAGAAGCCGAGTAACACCGGCCAGGGATGTTCAATTATTTAATGATCACACAGGTAAAATGAACTTGCACCCAGTGGGGCTGACTTCTACAAGCCAAAATCCTGCAGTGCCCCCAGAGCACTGGATAGCCCAAAGTGTGCCCTCCTGACCCCGTTTGCACGCCGCCCTGTGCCCCGCAGCAGGAGCTCATCGACAGCATCGGCCGCAAGCTGCAGGTGCTGCGGGGCGCGCGGGAGAGCCTGCTGGAGGACATCCAGGCCAACAGCGCCCTCGAGGACGAGGTGGAGGCCATCGTCAAGGACGTGTGCAAGCCGAACGAGTTCGACAAGTTCCGCATGTTCATCGGGCACCTGGACAAGGTGGTGAACCTGCTGCTGTCCCTGTCGGGGCGCCTGGCCCGCATGGAGAACGCCCTCAACAACCTGGACGACAGCGCGTCACCTGGCGATCGGGTAAGTACAACCAATAGAACCTGGAAATTGGGAGGGCAGGGGGTTTGGGGGAGTTGTAGGAGGATCTGCAGGGAGGTACTTGGGGAATTGAGTGAATGCCTGATGGTGCAAGATGCTATGACACTCACCTGATATAACATGGTAATGGCATGGTCCTCTGGGTATCAGACTGCACTGCCCGCCCAGCATCCCAAGGTCCATTGCAGAGATGCAGAGTAGGTGGGCCAGCCATTATCCCCTCAGCTATGCAAGGCTGAGATTACTCACCATCTCATTCCATCCCCTCATCCAACACCACTCAGTGGCCAGGTGTGAGCATAGTTAGTAGTGAGTGAGAACCTCATGTCAGGCAGATGTGCTAATGCAGTAAAAAGGCTTTCAGAGGCAGATGTGATAATGCAATAAAATGCATGGTGTCAAGTTATAGAAGGTGCCTTTCTGATTCTAGGTAGAAAATGAATATGTGAAAAGAGTTGGGGAAAGTCCCACACCTGATCTCAGAAGGTTTGAGGCCAACTGCTTTGAATCTGAACCAAATTTGTAGAATTAATTACAATCCACTTTTCTCTGTTTAGAACCCACCAGCTTTGCTTTGCCTCTTTTCATCCAAATGCATGGTCCTTTATTTCACAAGTGCCTGAGGCCATAGTGTCCCTGTGAGGTGGGTGGGGTACATCAACCCCAAGCCATCTACAAGCCAGAAGCAGGCTGTTTGCAGTTGAATGTCAGCTCCCTTTCCCTAAGCTTTTCTGTATGTCACCTTTTTTGCAAACTGCAGCCTCACTCTGGATGCCTGCATGCAGTTCTGCAAAACAGCAGGATGGCAGGGAGCGTGTGTCCAAAATCCCACAGAGGGAAAGTGTTCCTGACACCCCTGACTGACAGGAACATGATGCATTTGTCTCCTTCTTTCTTCTGTTCTTTACACTGGGAGGGTGTAGAACACAAGTTCATGCTCTGCAGACACAGAGGACAAGAGTAAGAGTCATGTTCTGGGAGTAAGTGGTCTGTGCCCCATAGCAGATGCTTGTAAGGGGAGAAGGAACCTCTTCCCACAGCATTGCATTTCTCTTCAAACTCCCTGCATCCTTGTCTACAACAACTCCAGGCTCTGGGTCCTGCTGTGAGGAGGGTTTAAAATTCTGCCCTGGATTTCTTTAGAATGTATCCCCTTTGCCACAATGTTGTCATGGGAAGGATGCTAACACAAGTAGGATGACTAAGTCCTTGGCACCTTTTTTTAATTGCTCGTATATTAGAAAAGCAACAAACAAGGTATGAAAGCCACAGCCAGCATAGCTAGGGTTCAGGATCTGGAGAAGAGCTATGCACAAGGCAATAGACAAGAATTATGAATTTAGAAATCACAGGGGACCAGGTGGAATACCTTTCTCTAGTGGAAAGGCTTCACTGGAGCCCAGGCTTTTATTCAGTTTTAGAATACACATCTTGCCCTTAATCAGGCAGGCAATCTAGTAGTAAACAGGCTATCTTAAAGATCTATAAATATTAGTAAAGACTGACTTTGAGACTATTTGGTCAGGTGGCTTGAGCCACCATAATCTCAACAATCAGTGCATAGGTTTTAGCTCTTGCTAAAACTCAAGGTCCATCAGTCTTCCAAGTCCCCTGTTTGCACTTTTATAATGGTATAGACAACGAATAGCTTCCAGCAACAAGGGTTTTTTGTTTTGTTTTTTGTTTATGAGTGTGTGTATATATAATATGTATATGTACATGTATAATATATATACACTGAGTGGCTAGATATGTGTTCAGAGATCATAATAATCTGGCTACTCAGTGTGTGTGTGTGTGTGTGTGTGTGTGTGTGTGTGTATGGGTACCAAAAGTATTCTAGACTTTTGTTGGAGATCAACCACCTATTTGCCCTGAGCTTTCTACCAGCCAGTGCAAAGGGAAAAACTAATCAGGTGCACGATTTATAATATCTTTATATAAAATAAATGAGGTACTCAAGAGAAGTACATGCATAATAATCTGGCCACTCAATGTATATTTCTTATATATAAAGAGCTATTATGAAAATTGTCATCACGCACTTATGCTATCATGCCGTAATGGCTCAGACTTTCAACACTGAGGAGAGAAGAATAGAAACCAGTCAGGCTGTAGCTGAGGAGAGGGACAAGCCATCAACCCCACAGTCCCAAGTGCCAGCAGTTGCACATGCACCTGTAGCCCAGGAGAGGGACAAGCCACCTACCCCTTGGTCTTTGCTGCCAGTGGCTGTATTTGCAGCATAAGAGAGGGACAATCCACATGTCCTAAGGTCCCAGCAGCTGCAGTTGCATCCCAGGTACAGCCACCCACCCACATTCTCCTGTGGCTGTGGCTGGCCCAGGCAAAGTCAGAGGGAGGGAAGCACAGGTCCCAGGAACCTGCAATGAGCCAGAGGAGGGAATCCTGGATCCCAGGAGCAAAGCAGAAGCAGTTAGTGTTGATCAGGTGGGTAGCAGAGCAGATAGGAGCAATTAGGCAGGCAGGCAAAGGTAGTTAGGGGCAATCAAGCAGGCAAGCAGAGGGGTTAGGGGCAATCAGGCAGGAAGGCAGGCAAGTAGTTAGGAGTAAGCAGTCCCAGATTGTGAGAGGCAGTCAAACTTCCCCTGAAGGGTACTAGATTGTAGAGGGTGCAGACCAGGCTGAGGAACAGCCCTCCTGTGCACCCTTCGAGAGATATACAACTGCCCATTTAGGCCTGATCTTACCAGGCAGACATCTCTCTCACAATCCAGGATTGCTGGCTCCCAACTGCTCACCTACCTCATTGCCCCTAACTGCTTTGTCTGTCAGCCTGATCACACCCTAACCACTCCTTGACAGTCTGTTTGCCCCTAACTGCCCTCCCCTGCAGGCATAGCCATCTCTGACTCTCCTAAAGGCCTAATCATCCCTAACTGCACTTCCTTGAAGACCTGGTCACCCCCAACTGCCCTGCCCTGTAGGCCTGCTCACCAGCCACTTCCCTCCTCTGCCACCTAGTCACTCCTAACTACCCACCCTTTCAGGCTTCGTTGCCCCATCTGCTCTCCTGTGCAGACCTGGTCCCTCCCAACTTTCCTCCCCAACTGGCCATCTTGTGGCTGCCATATTGTGTCCACATGCAAGCAGACATTTTGTGTGTTGGAGAGATAGTCAATTTGCATATCTCCCACCCTGATCTGGGACACCAGATGGCTGCCACCTGTGCACCAGGCCTCTATCCTATCTAACAGAGTAATATGCTATTAACCATCACTCTGCTACACCCACAAGCTATGCCCACCAGCCAATCAAAGCAAGTATGCAAACTAACACCAATCAAGTTGGCTGCGGCCACAGAGACCAGGAGGGAGGCTTGGATTTCTCTGGCAATGCAAGAAGCCAAGCTTTCCACCTTCCCTAGCTGGCCTAAGCCTCCACTCAAGGCTACAAAGTTTCGATTATAGAAGGTAAACAAATCCAAACATAAATGGCATCAGCCACTGAGCGAGCAGAAGGCTTGGCTCAGCTGCAGGCTACAAAGTTTCAATTATAGAAGATAAATAAATCCCAGAAAACAGGGCCTTCACTTGGGTTGCAAGGGAGTGCCACCAGCCTGCAAATCACCACAGGCCCCTCACTCAGGCCCCAAGGCAACTCCCACCCTGATCTGGGTCACCTTTCAGGGCAAATCAGACAGCCACCACCTGTGCGCCAGGCCTCTATCCTATCTAATAAAAGAGTAATATGCAGATTGACCATCACTCCAACACACAAGATGGCTGCCCCATGTGGTCGAAGATCCACCCCCTATGTGGACACAAGATGGCCACCACAAGATGGCCAGCAAGGGAGGCAGTTGGGAGGCAATCAACCCTGCAGGGGAGGGCAGTTAGGGGTGACCAGGCCGGCAGAGGGGGGAAATTGGGGACAAACAGGATGGTAGGAGAGCAGTTAGACATCAGTCAGGCTGGCATGGGAGTGGTTATGTGGTGATCACAGTGCCAGAAATGGTTAGGGGCAATCAGGAAGGCAGGTAGGTGAGCAGCTGGGAGCCAGCAGTTGTGAGAGGGCTATCCTAGATTGAAGAGGATGTAGGCTGGTCTGAGGGACACCACCACTATCACCACCACCCCCTATGTACAAATTTTGTGTACCGGGCCTTTAGTTACTCTAATATTAGATAGGATGCAGGCCTGGTGCACAGGTGGGGTCCGACTTGTATGCCCTGAATAGTGTCTTGGGTCAGGGTGGGGTTCCCTTGGAGCCTGGAGTGGCCTGAGTGAGGGGCCTGTGGTGGTTTGCATGTTGGCCACACACGCCGGTGACACAAGTGGAGGCCCTGGTATCTGGGATTTATTTACGTTCTACAATTGAAACTCTGTAGCCTTGAGGGAAGGCCAGGGGTGGCCAGGATGAGCAGGTCACCTTGGCTGTCTCTGTTAGGAAGTCCAAGTCCATGTGCAGCACTGAAGGTGGAAGAGGCCTTCTAAAAGCATTGAAGGGGCTAAAGAGAGAAGCAAGGGTGGGCCTGCTGTAGCCACAAGTGCTTGCCAGTCACACTCAGAACTCAGTGCTGTTCCATAAGATCTGCATCACTCCAACCCCAGAATTTTGGTATTTCCAGGGTATCAGGGTGGCCACTGCTTCTGATCCTCACTGGCTCCTCTCTCTCTCTCTCTCTCTCTCTCTCTCTCTCTCTCTCTCTCTCTCTCTCTCTCTCTCTCTCTCTCTCTCTTTCTCTCTCTCTCCCCACAGCAATCGCTGCTTGAGAAGCAGCGGGTCCTCATCCAGCAGCACGAGGACGCCAAGGAGCTCAAGGAGAACCTGGACCGCCGGGAGCGCGTGGTGCTGGACATCCTGGCCAGCTACCTGAGCGACGAGAGCCTGGCCGACTACGAGCACTTCGTCAAGATGAAGTCAGCCCTCATCATCGAGCAGCGGGAGCTGGAGGACAAGATCCACCTGGGCGAGGAGCAGCTCAAGTGCCTGGTGGACAGCCTGCAGCCCGACAGGAGCAAGTGAGGGCCTCCGGGCGGAGCCGGCCTGCGCCGCCCTGGCAGCGGACCCCAGCCTGGCCGGTGGCCCCAGTGAGAACCCTCTCAGAGCGACGTGGCTGTTTGAAAAGCGATAACTCGTGTTTGTCTGGGGTGACACGTTGGGTGTTTAGTTTCCCTTTGGATGCTGAGCAGAGTGGCTCCCCGGGGGGTGTTGTCCTTCACAAGGAGCCCCATGGGGCACGGGCCCCGGTGGCTGGCGAGCTTCTGCCCCGGAGCCCGCAGGCTGTCCCGTCCCGCATGCAAGGGCCCCTTGGCAGCGATCGCTCTGGCCTCCTGCGTCTCCCGCTGCCACACCAGCCATTGGGCAGCGCTCAGCGAGTCCCCGGGGTGCACAAGAGAGGACACCCGGCTCACGTCTTCTCTTGTGATCCACGAGGGGTGTGGCCTGCCACGTTTATCCGTGTCTGTCCAGTGCTGTTAGCTTTCACTGTCGTTCATACAATGTGCTCTCTGACCCGGCACAAACCTGTGATGATGATGATAGTGATAATTTATTAACATAGTTTTCAAGTGGTTAGAGACCAACTGTGAAATGCATAGCCTTTGTGTTGGGTCGCTCATTAAAAGTCGTGTGCATGCTTTCAAACCCACGCACCAAGCGGACGGCTTCAGTCCGTCTCACCTGGCGGCGCGGGTCAGGCGTGTTCCCGCAACGTGAAATGCCTGGTCACAGGTGTGTGCGGTAGTCCTGTGTTTGCTAGGTGTTTCCTGAGACCAGTGGACCGTTCTTAGATCACTTTCTCCCCAAGCATTTGTGTCGTGTGCATATGGTCATCCATGGGAAGTGGCTCCTTTCCTCGGTTTGCCTCTTGCAACCTGTCAGCATGCCCCGAAGGCCCATCCGGTTTCCCAAGAGCCCGCCTCCGGGCTTCCGGGGGTCCCTCTCCAGCTTTGCCACAGAGATGACCGGTTCAGGGCCCTTTTTATTGATTGACATTGCAAGATTCTGAAGAGTCTGTTCACTTAAAAACAAACGCTGTTATGGTGTCAGTTTGCAGTTGCAAATCAAGAAATGATTTGCAAATCACATGTGACAAAGTAACCCTCTCCAGAATATGTAAATAACTACACAGTTCAACTGCAAGAAAAACAAAAGCCCAGATGAAACGTGGGCAAAAGATTTCACCAAAGAGGACATGTGTGTGGCAAGGAAGTGCAGGAGAAAGATGACCAACCGCCGATGGTTGGATAGGTGGTGGTTTGCTTTGAGTCTCAAAAATTCTATGAGACAGAAATGAGCCAAAGCAAGGCTGCTTTTAACTCATGGGGAAGTCAAAGAAAAGGGTCTTTCAAGACAAGAACAGGCAGTAAGCTCTTGTTTGCAAGTCTTGTGGTGGCTCTAAAGAGTTTAGGATGAATTAAACTTCATCCTAGTTAAGTAGCATAGGTATGGCTTTAGAACCCACACTGGGTTTCTGTCTAAAGGTTTATACTTTGCTTCTGCTGGTGGCAATTGTAGGAGAGGTTTTAGCAGATAACTTTACAGGTGCACTTTTAATAACTTGATGCATCAAAATGAGTATCAATAGGAGTTAGAGATCTTTTATTTTAGGTCTATTTTGTTATTCATTCCCCTAACTTCATTCATCCCTGGGCTTGACACAAATGGCATTACTTGGATCTCGGGTCTCTGTTTTCCTGACTAGGATTATTTAGGTATTTATTCTCTGGTTACTGAGGGGAGGTATAAACTATTAGTCCTCAAGTGTTCTGAGTGAGGGAACATAGGCCTTGCAATTCACTAGCTGGCTATAAATTCAAATTCTTTTGTTTTGTTTAATAATCATGTTTCAGTTTTCCCATTCCACTGGCCAAGAATTTTCCTGGCTTACTAGTAAAAATAGGAAATAAAAGGTAGAAAACTATACATTTGTTTAGGCTTTTATTTTGAAGGACTGGAAATGGCTCTGGGTGAGTCAGGGAGTGAGTGGAGAATGAATTGAAGACCTACAAAATGACAGTATACTACAAACACTGTATACCAGCATCAACAAAATATTAATGTAATGTGCTGTGAAATTATAAAAACTATGCTGTGTTTCCCCGAAAATAAGACATCCTCTGAAAATAAGACTGACTTACATGTTTCTGAGTGAACTACAAGGCATCCCCCCAAAAATAAGCCCCTCCCCCCCCCCCCCCCCCCCCCCAGAATAAACATGAGAGATTTGGTCCACTGATTCTGAAAAAAATGTAGTCACAAGAAATTCAGGAATTGGATTGTTAGGATGTTCCAGAAGATGATGACATGATTGTCATTAAATAAATGAGTGAATTCTTGATAATGGAGGATTCACAGTTTGTCTGGTTTGTGTCGACAACTTCCGTACTACCGTTCTGTATACAGGTAATAAATTTCCTTTATTTTCATTTAACAGTAAATGTGTACCATATACTTCATGGAAAAATAAGATATCCCCTGAAAATAAGACCTAGCGCATCTTTGGGAGCAAAAATTAATATAAGACACTGTCTTATTTTTGGGGAAACAGGATATTATTAGTCAATAGTTTTCATCCCATTAGATATAATTTGTAGGTTGGGGTCTATACTAATAAATCTACACTAATAAATCTATACTAATCTATACTAATAAAAGCTTACCTGATCCTCACATCCTGGCACGATACCCTCAAGTCATCAGAAGATGGCCACCACCAGATGGCTGGCAGGGGAGGGAAGTTAGGAGCAATATCAGGCCAGCAGGGGAGCAGTTGGACGTCAATCAAGCTGGCAGGGGAATGGTTAGGGGCAATCAGGAAGGCAGGCAGACGAGCGGTTAGGAGCCAGCAGTCCCAAATTGTGAGAGGGCTGTCCCAAATTGTAAAGGTGCAGGCCAGGCTGAGGGACACCCCCGCACCTCCATACACACACACCTCAGTGCACAAATTTCGTGCACCAGGCCTCTAGTACTAAAACCAATTACTTTTCCAAAACCACAATCTCTTACCTTCCATATGTGAGATGTAAACAGTAAATGACTTAATTCAGTGCTCTAACACAAACCCTAGAAATACAAGTTTGTGGTATACTAACACAAATTTCCCATATTTGATGATAGAATCCTCTTGTGTATCAGAGATAACAAGTAAATGTCACACCTTAACTACACTTGCTTTTTAGCAGATACTAAACAAGCAGCTATTGAACGACTATTGTATTTGTAGTCTGAAATACGGTTCCAGCCAATGTTGTTGAGTGATTGAATATCAACCCATGAACCAGGTCACGGTTCAATTGCAGGTCAAGCCACATGCCTGATCCCCAGAGTAGGGGCCATGCAGGAGGCAGCTGATCAATGATCCCCTTTCATCATAGATGTTTCTATCTTCCTCTCCCTTCCTCTCTGAATTCAATAAAAATAAAACATAAAATAGATCTGTATTTCCTTCTAAATTTCCTATATAATAAAAGCCTAATATGCAAATTGACTGAACTGTGCAACTACTAGCCACTATGACATTCACTGACCACCAGGGGACAGAAGCTGGGCTGATAGCTGGTGAGTCCAGTGGAGCAGGCAGGAACCTCTCCCACCTCCACGCAGTGCTAAGGAACAGAAAGCAAGCAGGTGTTAAGAAGCGAGAGGGTTGCCCTAACCAGTTTGGCTCAATAGATAGAGCATCAGCCTTCAGACTCAAGGATCCCAGGTCTGATTTCAGTCAAGGGCATGTATCTTGGTTGCGGGCACATCCCCAGCAGGAGGTGTGCAGGAGGCAGCTGGTCGATGTTTGTCTCTCATCAATGTTTATAACTCTCTAACCTTCTCTCTTCCTCTCTCTGTGCATATTTATATATATATATATGTGTGTGTGTGTGTGTGTGTGTGTGTGTGTGTGTGTAAAAAAAGAGGAAGCGAGGGGACCCAGTCTGGGAGAGGGTACATGCAGGGCTGAAGGACTCTCCTGAGTACATGAATTTCATGCACTGGGCTTCTAGTGATACATAAAAATTACTGTTGAGATTTAAGTTGTTAAAAGTTATTATCTAGTTTAATAAAACATCTGCAAGTTTTTTGTCTTCAAATGTTTTCTAGGAAGCCAGAAAACTCCAAAATTGAAAGGATACTTCATTTTATCTTCAAGGCATTCCACTAGAATTATACATACTTTTAAACATTTGCACAAGTTAATTTATACAATTTATAGAATACCAAGAATGCAGCCCAAATATTTCAGAAAGCAGAGTTGTTATAAATGAGATATTATTGTTAAAATAATTTGTTCATATTAAATAAGTTTTCATACAATTTGGTAATATATACTGAATTTGTGATACAAAACTTGAGTAATTCCTCCTTCCCCTAACCATGTCATACAAGTAAAAAAGCATGGAATTTCTGTCGTCTAATTTTAAAAAACAAAGTATTTAGTTATCACATTGTTCCCTCAAATGAAAGCTATCATTCTAAATTTCTTTTCATAATAAATTCATGATAAACAAAATTTATGAAACCTATATAATGTTCCCTTAGTCACTATATTTTATATTATACATTTTGCCAGTGATTATTTACTATCATTGTAATAATTGCAACTTAAACCAGATTGAAAAATGTATTTTAAAAATAAACATACCTTTGTAAGTGATTCTTTTTAGCAGGCACCTCAAAAACTACCAGAGATGTGAAAGTTTAAAAGTTTTATGTTTATACAATATATATTTTGTTATACAGGTGTCTTTTTATGAATACATAAAATATATGTAATCAGATTTGAAAATGAACACAAACTTTTTTACAGAAGTCTTTCTAAAACTCAAGAGTGCAAAAGACTAAACATTCAACCATTTTAATAGATGTTTATGTACAATGCTAAATAGTTTTATTTATACATAGAAAAAGTAAAAGGAGTAGTGTGTAAAATGACAGAACTCCTTAATATTTAATGGCAGGTAAATCTAAAAATCAACAACATTCCATTCACAAGTATTTTCAAGCAATAAATATATATTCATAAATAGTATGAATCTGTATGAAATTAAAAAGAAAAATCACAAATCTGAAGTTTATTCCTTATTCTATGTGCAATCTATTATCTTTGTGTCCTATTATGCTATTAAATTAAAAAAATAATTTGGAACCAAAAGTATAATCATCCTAGTTATTAGCCTCCAATCAATACACAAAAACATAAAGCAGTAAAGAAATTTTCTCATCTAATTTTTACATTAATAAAAAGTTGATCAAAGAAATGAATTTGGTGTCTTAACCAAACAAATGACCTGCTAGAACAGTTTTGCTCCCCACCCCAAAAAAAATTCTTAAAAGGATAAAATATAACTGAAAATAAAGTTATCAAGCCAGAAATAAACAAAAAAAGGTGTCAAGTCATTAGGATGTTGAAAATTGCCAGTTTTGTCAGATACAATAAAACATGTTTATTATTAAGTACAACTGGATCTTCTGAGAGTACAGACAGTGTTCTCATACCAAGTTGATTGACATTCTATATTTGGAAGGTTGCATAGAAATAGCTTTTAGTTAGCAATCTCATAAAACAGCTATAAAATCACTGGTGCAAAACTTTCCTGAAGAGCAGAAAAGGCATCATATAACATCATTGGACAATATCAAGAAGAGGAGGATGATACTGAAGGAACCTAAAATTAAAATAGGTATGTTAGTTGGTATATTAATTCTTACCAGTATTCACTAGCTCATAGCTATAAACAAATAAAGAGTTAGAAATAAACAATGATGCCCCAAGTTTAGCAGCTACTAAGTCTATTATATTCCCCAAGTGTCCTTAATCACTACCTCCTCCCATTTTCTTATAATTCATAATTTTTTAAGAAATTCTTATGAAGCATTAAAATCACAAATCTTTTAGATGCTCAGCGAGTCGTCTAAAAAATAATTTTTAAAAATTCAATTAAAATCTCACTAGTATGTCATAAATTTTTTCTTTATGAAATAATGCTGAGAGCCATGCAATGAGAAATACCAGAAACTTAATTTCAAAAATTTAG